ATTTATGAGGAAGATAAGTATCTGACATCTTTTCCTTTACACTGGTATTGGCCAGCAAAAATAACGCCTTCATCTGTATCTCCTAATACAGTTGCTAAAGGGGTGATAACCTCTTCAGTTTGGGCTAAGAAAAGAAATCTGTGTCCCTAACTTTTCATAAGTAGAATTACATTTCATTGGTCAATTCCCACTGTTGAATTAAAAAAAGGCCTACCACTGGGGAGCCTGGGTGGCTCATCTGGTTAAGCATCTTTTTTTTTTTTTTTTTAATTAAAAAAAACAATGTATTTATTGGGCGCCTGGGTGGCTCAGTGGGTTAAAGCCTCTGCGTTCAGCTCAGGTCATGATGCCGGGGTCCTGCGATTGAGCCCCACATCAGGCTCTCTGCTCAGCGGGGAGCCTGCTTCCCCCCTCTCTCTCTGCCTGCCTCTCTGCCTACTTGTGATCTCTGTCAAATAAATAAATAAAATCTTAAAGAAAAAAAATGTATTTATTTGTGATTGGGTTATGTACACTGGGGAGGGTATGTGCTATGGTAAGTACTGTGAAGTGTGTAAACCTGATGATTCACAGACCTGTACCCCTGGGGCTAATAATACATTATATGTTAATAAAAGATTAAAAAAATGTATTTACTTGACAGAGAGACAATCACTGGTGGCTCCAGTGAACAGAAGTCCAGGACCAGATGGCTTCACAGATGAATTCTACCAAATATTAGAAGGCGAGTTAATACTACTCTTCTCAAACTATTCCAAAAAATAAAAAAGAGGAAGGAAAACTTCCAAATTCATTCTATGAGGCCAGCACTACCCTGATACTAAAAGTAAAGACACCACAAAGAGAACCACAGGCCAGTATCTCCAATGAATGCAGATACAAAAATCCTCAACAAAAATACTAGCAGGGGACCTGAGTGGCTCAGTGGGTTAAAGCCTCTGCCTTCGGCTTGGGTCATGATCTCAGGGTCCTGGGATCGAGCCCCGCATCGGGCTCTCTGCTCAGCAAGGAGCCTGCTTCCTCCTCTCTCTCTCTGCCTGCCTCTCTGCCTACTTGTGATCTCGAATAAATAAATAAAATCTTAAAAAAAAAAAAAAACCTAGCAAAATGAATCCATTAACATATTAAAAAAATCATTCACCACCATTATTTCTGGGATACAGGATGGTCCAATATTTTCATATCAATCAATCATATTGTGATAACCTCACAATAACAGGAAGGATAAAAATCATATTATCCTTTTGATACAGAAAAAGCACAAAGCACAAAGACAAAGTACAACACCCATTCATGATAAAAAACTTCAACAAAGCAGGTCTAGAGGAAACATACCTCAACATAATAAAGACCTTTATGAAAAACCCACAGCCAACATCATACTCAGGGGGGAAAAACAGAGCATTTTCTGTAAGGTGAAGAAAAAACAAGGATGTCCACTCTCACCACTTTTATTTAATATAGTCCTAGCTACAGCAATCAAGACAACAAAAAGGAATAAAAGGCATGCAAATTGGTAAGGAAAAAGGAAAACTTTCAGTATTCGTAGATAACATACCATACACACACACACACACACACACACACACTATATGTACTAGTACTAGTATACATATATATATATACTATATGTACTATATATAGATATGTATCTATATATATATAAAAAACCCTAAACCACTAAAACTGATAAATGAATTTAGTAAAGTTGTAGGATACAAAAATCAATGTACAAAAACCTGTTGTATTTCCATACACTAATAATGAAACAGCAGAAAGAGAAATGAAGAAAATAGTCCCATTTACAGTTGTACCAAATATAATAAAATACCTAAGAATAAACTTAACCAAGGAAGTAAAAGACCTGTACTCTGAAACCTCTAAAACACTAATGAAAGAAATTCAAGACGACACACAGAAATGCAAAGATAGGGGCACCTGGGTGTCTCAGTTGCTTAAGCATCTGCCTAGGCTCAGGTCATGATCCCAGGGTTCTGGGATGGAGTTCTGCACTGGGGTCCCTCCTCACCAAGGACTCTGCTTTTCCCTCTCCCTCTGCCACTCCCCCAGCTCATCATGTTCCCTCCCTAGCTCTCTCTCAAACAAATAAATAAGATCTTGAAAAAGAAAAAAAAAAAGAAATGCAGAGATATTCCATGGTCATGAATTGGAAGAATAAATATTGTTAAAATGTCTATACTACCCACAGCAATCTACACATTTAATGCAACCCCTATCCAATAGCACTTTGCACAGTACTAGGACAAACAATCCAAAAATTTGCATGGAATGACAAAAGACCTTGAATTGTCAAAGCAATCTTGAAAAAAAACAAAACAAAACTGAAGGTACACAATTCCAGATTTCAAGTTATATTACAAAGCTGCAGTAATCAAAGCAGTATGGTAGTGGCACAAAAACAGAACAGAAAGCCAGAAATAAACCCACAATCACATGGTCAATTAATCTTCAATAAAGCAGGAGACAATACGCAATGGGAAAAAGACAGCCTCTTCAACAAAGGGTGCTGGGAAAACCAGACAGCTACAGGCAAAAGAATGAAAATGGACCACTTTCTTACACCATACTAAAAACAAACTCAAAATGGATTAAACACTTAAATATAAGACCTGAAACTATAAAGTCCTAGAGGAGAGCACAAGCAGTAACTTCTCTGACACTGGCAGTAGCAACATTTTAAAAATATGTCTTCTAAGGCAAGGGAAATAGAAATAAAAATAAACTATTGGGATTATAACAAAGTAAAAAGCTTCTGCACCGCAAATAGTCAACAAAACTAAAAGACAACATACCGAATGGGAGGAGATATTTACAAATGACATGTTCAATAAAGAGTTAGTATGCAAAATATATAAGAACTTAGTTGAACACCCCCCAAAACCAAATAATCCAATTAAGACATAGGCAGAAGACATGACAGACATTTCTCCAGGGAAGATACGCAGATGGCCACCAGGCACATGAAAAGATGCCTAATCAACATCACTTATCATCAGGAAAATGCAAATCAAAAGACAATGAGATATCACCTCATACCTGTTGTAAATAGCTAAAATCAACAAGAAACAACAAATGTTGGTGTGCATGTGAAGAAAAAAGGAACATTTCCGCACTGTTGGTAGAATGCAGACTGGTGCATCCATGATGCAAAACAGTATGGAGGGTCCTCAAAAAATGAAAAACAGAACTACCCTATGAACCAGTAATCACACTACTGAGTATTTAACCCCCAAAATACAAAAATACTTACTCAAAGGGTTACATATGCCATTATGTTTATTGCAGTATTATTATGGAAGCAGCCCAAGTGTCCATCAACTGATGAATGGATAAAGATGATGTGGTGATACATAAAGATAGATACACACACACACACACGAATATTATTCAGCCATAAAAAAGAATGAAATCTGGCAATGATAGCAACATGGAGGTAGAGCACAATGCTAAGTGAAATATGTCAGAGAAAGAAAAACACTATATAATTTCATTTATATGTAAAATCTAAAAAAACAAACAAAAAGGCAGAAACAGACTCATAAATACAGAAAACTAGTCGTTGCTAGAGGGGGGTGGAAGTGGAGTGATGGGTGAAATAGGTAAAGAGAATTAAGAGGTATAAACTTCCAGTTTTAAAATAAATAAATCCTAGAATAGTCAATAACATTCATTGTAAAAACATTGGAAAACATTGTATAGTGACAAATAGTGGCTACATATATCATGGGTGAGCACTCAGTAATGTAGAGAATTGTCAAATCACTACTTTGAACACTTGAAACTAATACAACATTGTATATCAATCATATTTCTATAATGTTAAAAAGTATTTCTGCAAATTGTAAACCATACTTTAACAGTACATCACCTGGGAAAGGAGGAATAAAAAAGGAAGACAAATCTTAATTCCTAAGTAAAAACATCTGTCAACTCCAAAGGGGGGGGAATATGTATAAAATATATATCTTTTATATAAATATAAAATTATAGGAAGAAAACAAATTCTTAAACACAGTGAATTCATGAATTATTATGAATTTTATGAATTATTCTACAGTTAAGCTCACTTAGCTTATTCTATGCTTTATATAAAATTATTGCTTTTTCTCTATAGCACCACAGTGACAGCTCTCAAAAATGACTCAACGTGATTCACTCTTCAGTGGCAAAGTAGAATAATTCTACCTACTTCTCAAGACTGTCAGAGGAATTACATAAAATAATACATGAGAAATCCACAGCTCTGTGCATCTCTCATCCTAAGTTCTTAGTAAACAGCATTATTTGACCTTAAGGATTTATGTATCCAAATTAAAGCATATTAATGAAGTTGTTCCCAGCCATGTTTATGTCCCTTTCAGCTTTTTAAGTTTGTGAAGATTAACCAGAACACACATGACTACAGTAAAATGTTTTTATCTTTTAATTGGCTTTTGTACTGTGGTAGGTTTTCTATGGGGAAAAAGTTACTTCACAATCTACCATCACCACTTCATATAGTTCAAATAATATATCATTTTCTCACATAACAAAATATTTGACAAAATCTCATTCTCTGTGCTACCATAATTTTTATTTATTTTTTTTTAAGATTTATTTATTTATTTGACAGAGAGAGGTCACAAATAGGCAGAGGAAGGCAGAGAGAGAGGAGGAAGCAGGCTCCCTGCTGAGCAGAGAGCCCGATGCGGGGCTCGATCCCAGGACCCTGAGACCATGACCCGAGCCGAAGGCAGAGGCTTAACCTACTGAGCCACCCAGGCGCCCCTGTGGTACCATAATTTTATTATGACTCTTCTAACTCCACAATCTCTTTAGATACTGACTTCACCAAAGAGTTTTGCTTTTTGTTCTCTGGTTCCCTTGTAGAGTATAAGGAAGATGTAGGTATGTTCAGGAGGTGGGTGGGTAGTCAGAGATGCAGTATAAAAAAGACTGCCTGATGAAACTGTCAGAAATGATAATAATGAAAATATTACCTGTTGAGTTCGAGTAACCATCTCCTTGTAGATACTATCCAGGCTGATATTTGATAAAGTGGTTAATGCTGATACAATTGTTTCTGCTTGTGCTTTGTCAAATCCTGTAAACCGCAAATATGTATTTATGTTTTTTTTAAAAATGCATATCTTTATCAACCTGAACAGCTAGAATAACTTTTCCTCATCAAATTATTGTTAAAAAAAGGTTACAATTAAAAATTTCAGATTAGGTTATTCTCCAATAGCACTTTATAATTTTAATTCCCACTGATCCATTTCCCCATGTCTCCATCAACACTGGATATTGCTAGTGGCTTTGATTTTATAATTGGCATTAAAAAGTGAAATGGCACTGCATTATTTATTATTTATTATTATTATTTATTTGCATTTCTTTAGTCAAGTAACTTTACATATACTTATTACCTATTTTCTGTGAGCTATTTATGGCCTCTGCCCATTTTCCTATAAAATTACTGTAATTTTTTTCATATGAACTCTTCGTATATTAAAGCAATAGGTTCATTGTCATGTATGTTCCTAACATTTCTAACTTTTGAGTTTTAAGTCTTGCTTCCTCAATCTCAAAGTCTTAAAATATTCTACATTCTAGTATTTTTAATAGCTTTTCTCTTTTTTTTATATTTGACTTTTAATCAATCTGTAATTTATTTTTCAGTGAGAGTATCTAATGTTTTTTCAAACAGCTAGCCATGTAATCTATCAATTTATTAAATAGCCCTTCCCTTCCCTAATTTGTAATACCTTCTTTATTGTTTGCTAAAAATGTCTACATGTATCTGAATGCCATTCTATTAATTCTATTCCTGTACTATCACATAATTTAAATTACTGTTTCGGTATCTGGTAATCTTTTGTCTTCTTTTTGCTATTCTTAAATAGTCCTTGCACTTCCATGAGAACTTTAGTATCAGCCTAGAAACTAGTTTTTCTTTTCTACATAATTGAAATCATACTACACATGTAATTTTATGTTTTTCCCCCACTTAATCTGAGTATTTCTCCTATCAGTAAATATTCCTCAACACTATTTTTTTTTGACTGTAGAATATTCCACTGTATGGATGGCGCTTGTATTTAAAATGACTCTTAATTGTTCATAATAATGATACTGTCTTCACTAGGTAATTTACTGTGACTGTTAACATTCTTTCAAGAGGTACCCGTTTCTTACCATGAGTTTCCAAATCCTGAACGAGTGCATGGGTATCAAAAGTTAATTTCCTTTGTTCTAAAGGAGTTATGTCCACTCGCCTCATATCATATCCTTCCTTGGTTGTGGTGGTGAAGAAATCTGAAAAAGAAGACAGGTTTCTTCCATGTAGTAACCAACACAAGCATGACATTTTAGTTTCTAAGGCATTTCTTCTATTTAGCACACAGTTCCAGCTCCTAGGAATCCTATAATTTCAAGGAAGAAAACGGAGTCTTCTGAGTGGCCCTCTCTTTCATCTGAAAAGTTTCTAATGGCGACCACTGCAAAAATATTTCCTTTCCTCCTTTTAGTATTCAGATATATTTTGTTAGGAGTCAGTCAAAAGTTGTAACGTAATATACATCAAAAGCTTTAGGGGCGCCTGGGTGGCTCAGTCATTAGGCGTTTGCCTTTGGCTTAAGCTGTGATCCCACGGTCCTGGGACTGAGCCTCAAGTCGGGCTCCTTGCTCTGTGAGAAGCCTGGTTCTCCCTCTCTGACTCCCCCTGCTTGTGTTTCCTCTGTAGCTGTCTCTCTCTCTCTGTCAAATAAAATCCAAAAAAAAAAAAAAAAGGGCAAGCTTTGGATATTACTGCCAAGTCTCTCATTACTGGAAGAGTAGAAACCACCCAACTCTCCTAGGGGCCAATACATCACCATATAAAGTAGCTTTTTGAATGCCCACTCTCTTACATACCCATTTTATTTCCATCACAGTTCTCAGCTCTAATCTGAAACGGTCTGGTTTGTTCCTCTGAACCAGAATATAAGTTTTGTAACTTTTGAGTTTTTCATCACTGTACCTTTAGTACCTAGAACGGTGCTTGGCAGATAACTGGGTCACAATATTTTACTGCTGAATCAACCGATGAATTTGATTTTAAATCCTAGGGTATATACTACTATCAACACAGAGGCCCTAGCAAATTTCTCATTTTTGCGATAAATTGTCCCATTTCAATAAATTCCCAATTTTTAATCTAGACAGAGTATGGTCCTTTTCCACATATTACTGATGAATTTCATTAAAAGGTATTCTTCAGAACTTTGTGTACATATAACTTCATTACTATTATTATGTATTAAATAAAATAACAGCTAATTAATGTAACTATTAATTGAATAGTAGGTACTATTCTAGATTTTTTTTTTAAGGGGATTTTATTTATTTGATAAAGTTATTTGAGAGAACGAGCGAGAGGGAGCCTGACACAGGGCTTGATCCCAGGACCCTGGAATCATGACTTGAGCTGAAGACAGATGCTTAAAACAGACTGAGCCACCCAGGCAGTCCATATACCAGATATTTTATATATTATGAATGCAAGGTGGTATTACCTACAGTTTTACAAAAGAAAACTGGACCTAGAAAAGGTGAAGAATTTTACCTAGAGTCATTGGCAGAATCAGAATTAAGACTCAAGTCTTCTGACTCCAAAGCTCACGCTCTTTCTGTCACCCTATGCTGTCTCTTTTTTATCCTAAATCACTTTATTTATCTAAGTACTTAAAAGACATAGCTGCAACCTCAGGTATTACTTTTCTGCTAGGTGATGTAGGGAAAATGTCATTCTTTCCTATGTATTTTTTCACCCGAATGCCAGGCACAGGGCATGATGTGCAAAACCAGACATAACTGATGTCTTTGCTGACTTTGTGGACTAGTAGGCAGGAAAGAGATATTTAAAAATAGTATTTAAATATAAACTCTAAATTCAAAAAAGTAATGGCCAGTTCTTTATATTTATATTTATATTCATTCAAATACTTAGATAAAAAAGGAATTGGATGTAAAGGTGGATCAATTTTGCACACATGGACATACACATTAGTACAGTGGTCAGCAACCTTTCTGGCTCTGAGTGCCATCTAGAAGAGTTAAGCAATGTCCCTCTGTGCATCAACATTAGATTTGAGGAAGAGAAAAGAAAAAAATGAGGGAAAAAGAGGGGCAGATTTCAGTAATATTTCTAATAGCAATTGTATTAGGAATGATTAGTACCCACAGTTAGCCATCCTTGATTAGACGTTTAGTATTTCATTTGGGGTTTACTGCGGGGAAGGGGAGATTTTATATATATATATATATATATATACACACACACACACACACACACACACGCACACACATATGTACATGAATGAATGGCATGATACTGCTTTCACACCTATTATTTATCCTTAAAATTCTCATGTTATGGACGAGAAAAACAGGTTCAGAAATGCTAAGTAACTGCCTGAGACCTTATGGTCTCAGAGCTAGGCAGATGACTGCACAATTCCTTTCTTCCATGAAGGGAAGCTTCCCACTGATACGGGAGAGAGACCAAATAAATACCTAACACTGCTGCAAATCTCTGCAGGGTACAGCTGCAATCTCATGTCCCACTGTGCACAATTTGGCCCTCTGCTCTCAAGGACTCTTAATTCTTTAATTCCCTTAATAATTTAAGAATGTTCTCCTTTTCTCTGCCTGCTCATATTTATCCTTCAGTGTTCAGTTCAAATGTTTCCTCCACCAGAAAGCCTGCCCAGACTCTTTACGGCCAGGTGTTTTCGTGTTAGGGTTTTTCACAGGATCCTAGAACGTTACTTTGCCATACCTCAAAATTTACACATTTGTATGATTATTAACTGTTTACTTTTCCCACTAGGCCAGGGATCAGGTTAGCAAACCACAGCCTGCAGGCCACCACCTCCTATTTTTCTAAACAGCTTTACTGCAACACAACCATGCTCATTCACTTATGAATGAAAAACATGAGAATTATCTAAATATAAACTCTAAGTTCAAATGATAAAAAAGAAACAGCCAGTCCTTTTCACACCTATGGGTGCTTTCATGCTACCAATACAAGAAGAGTATTAAGTGACTGCATGGTCCACAATGCCTACGTAATGCCTACAATGCTCATTGTAGAAAAACTCTTGACTACCACCGCATTAGATTACAAGGTCCCTATCAGCAGGAACCACACCTGTTTTTGCTCATCATGGAATCCCCAACACCTAATACAACTCTTCGTGCTCAGCAGACATTTACTGATTAACAGAAACTGTATTAGGTGTTGTGGATACAATGAAGATCAAGGCCATGGTTTTAAATCATGTGCTATCAAGATATATCCATCACGGAATAGAGAGGAGAGACATTTGGTCCTCGATGAGAATACAGGGTTAAAAAATGGCTATCTGGATGAAATCTTAGCACCTGCAGCAATGTGGATGGAACTAGAGGATATTATGCTAAGTCAAGTCTATCAGAGAAAGGCAATTATCATATGATTTCACTCGTATGGAATTTAAGAAACAAAACAGAATGATAGGGGAAGGGAAGGAAAAATGTAAAATAAGACAAAATCGGAGAGGAAGACAAACCGTAAGAGACTCTTAACTACAAGAAACAAACTGAGGGTTGCGGGATGGGAGGAAGTTGGGGGGATGGGGTAACTGGGTGGTGGGCATTAAGGAGGACACATGACACAATGAGCACTGGGTGTTATACGCAACTGATGAATCACTGAACTCTACTGTGAACTAACAGAACACCATTATGTTAACTGAATTTAAAATTTTTAAAAAATGGCTAGTTATAAAAGACAGTAAACCTTAAAGAGGGGTTACAGTAAACCTTAGAAGTAAACCTTAAAGAGGGGCTAGCCAGGCCGGAGGAACAGGATGAGCAAAATTCACAAAGGCATGAGCTGCCTTTGCTATTTCTACCTTGGGCTCTATTTACTATGGGGCTGAGGAGAAATAGAGAAGGATCTGTGGAACATTCACTCCTTAGGTGTACTCAAATAGTTATGTCATCTTTGGCTAAGTCCTCATCACCCTAAGAACTAGGTGCTGACACCCTCCCTTGCAGTAGGACTTTAGAGAGCACTCTTTGGAGGGAATAAGGAAATGGAAAAGCTTTGATACCACAGCAGGGCTTCACAAGTACTTCAACTCATAAGCACTCCCCGCCCCCCCCCGCCTCCAAAAGCACTTTTAAGAATAAATCTTTGCAAGCATATTAATAGGTAGAGGAGAGGAAGTAGCCAGAATCACCGTTCTTAGCTCAGGATGGGATAACAGGTCCTCGATACCTTAAAAGTTCCCAGAACTTATACGATTGTACAAAACCCCAAACCCTTCCTTTCATATCTATCTTGTAGTTTTCTTAAAGTAAGAAACAAACTCTGTTTAAAGACTTAACCAGCATCACAAAGCTGTTAAACTGTGTATCTTGGATTAGCACTCTGGCCTACCTTGAACCAAGCTGCCTCTTTACCAGGAAAGGCCAGATTTTACTTTCCATTAACACACGTAAAATCCTGCCTCATTAAATCTAAGCTACAAGTTTTATATCAACTTCTGCTAACTTCAGAGAAACAATACTTTAGTGACATAGCTGGTTATTAATATACATTTCTATATGCTGGTCTGTTGGCAGGCACTTTGCTAGCTACATCAGAATTACCAGAATTAAGTAACACAGATATCCCTGGGCTCCACCCCTGACGACCAACTCCATAGTTCTGCAGTGGAGCTTAAAACTATGTAGTTTTACAAAGTATCCGCAGGGTTTCTCTTCCGCTACATTTGGGAACCAGTAATGAACTAGGAATCCAGCACTATTAAAACTTAGACAAACTGCATCACCTTCCCATGTCTTCTATTATTTATCTTTAAAAAGGATATTGAACTAAATAATTGAGATCCTTCCATAGGTCGAGGTCAAGGTTTTAAAATTCCTTCATTACTGACATTATTAGTCAAGTTTAAACTATGCAGTAAGTATTCAATTAATATTTGTTCAGCAATGATGGACACAAATCCTATTAGGTATAACGGGCCACTTAAGATTTCTCCAAGAAAGATTTAAGTAGGGTAACTCAACAAATGTTAAAAGACATCACTGTTTACTTATTAAGTATTTTCTAGTACTTCAAAAGTTCATTCTCCGCAACTGTACAATATTCTTTGTTTACATATTCAAATGAAAACACACTATCTCTCAAAATTTACAAAGTAAGATTGAGAATGGGATGATTTCCCAAGGTTCAAAAAATGCTATCTCCTTTTTCAAGTCCATCATCATGCCTAAGTAAACTCAACACCTAAATATGTAAGCAAATACCTGGTGACAGACACTGGGAGTTCAACAGCAGCCTTACAGATGGGGGAATCAACAACTGCAATCTTACTGTGAAAGTGGAGCAACTGGCAGAATGGCACAAAGTACAGTGGGCACTGGGTGGCTCATTTCCCCTGGCACTAAAGATTTAAGACGGTGAACAGAGAATGCTAAGGTTAGTACGAAGTGCCTGTTCTGTAGACAACCTTACAGAGTTTTTAAAAATGTGAGGGGAGATTCTGGAATCATCTTTCAGCATACAGTCTGACGTCCTTCAGGACACAATGCTAACAAGGGTGCCAACAAATTCAACACTTGCAGGTTCCAGCATTCGCGTTTTGTTTGGCTTTGAATGGCTACTCTGTGACTGCAGAGTACTAGAAATTACAGCGAAAATAAAGCTGGCCTGACCTGAAATGTATGCTGCGGTCTACCAAACACGGGAGCTTTAGACAGCACCCAAAAAACACAGCTTAAGTTTGAAGAGGCGGGGCACCTGGGTGGCTCAGTGGGTTAAGGCCTCTGCCTTCGGCTCAGGTCATGATCCCAGGGTCCTGGGATTGAGCCCCGCATGGGGCTCTCTGCTCGGTGGGGAGCCTGCTTCCCCCCCCCCCTGCCTGCCTCTCTGCCTACTTGTGATCTCTGTCAAATAAATAAATAAAATCTTTAAAAAAAAAAAAAGTTTGAAGAAGCCACGAAAGAAACCAGAACTCTCAGAACAGATTGCTCTTGACTCATCTCCCAGAGGGCGGGGATTGACAGCCTCGTCAGACCGTAAGAAGGAAACAGCCTGAGAGAGAAGCCAGGGGCGGGGGAGGGGAAGAACTCTAGTGGCGGAGCCAGGTGGGAACGCCAGGCTCTCAGACGCCCGCTCTCAGGGGAAGGCAGTGCCCTACGGGGTCCCTCGCCCTTCCCGCCCCAGTGCAACCCGGGGAGACCCTGCTGCGGGGTCGCCCGCACCTGGCGGGGTTGGGAGGGGCGTGGCACCGTGGCCTAGGGCGCTCCCGAGCAGGCAGGAACCACCGGCTGTCTCCCCAAGGAATACTCAGGCATCGGTGACAAGCTGCCTCGGCTCACCTCTCCGCAAGGCCGGCGAAAAAACCCCGCCGAGGCTCGAAAACCGGTGGCCCTCATTGCCCTCAGAACACAGGAGCCGCCGAACACAGCGACTCCACATTTCCGGTTTTCAGCTGGCGGGAGGAGGCGAAAGGCGGCGGGGGGGGGGGGGGGGGGGGGCGGAGGGTGGAAGGTGGTGCTGAATCACGCTCAGGCTTTCGGGCAAGGTAGTTCTGGCACCGCGAGGATGCTGGGAAGTGTAGTTTTCCGCCTGCCCCACAAGCCACCACCAGCGGAGCCTCCACTCGCTGTCCCGCAGAGATGGGCCTCTTCACAGATGGACCCCCAGCTCACGAGCATGGTTCACAGCGGCTCCGCTCCTCGCACCGTCCCTTCCCAACCAGCGTACAACGTTACCGCCCTAAGAAAGCGGGACCGTGTTTGAGATCTTCCAATGCCCGTTTCCTAGCAATGAGGTACAGCTCAACAGCAGAGGTTCCCGGGAAAGCCAGCGGCCATTACCCGAGAGGGAGTCACATCCTACCGCCGGGCAAGCTGGGACTTGAAATCCTCGTCCGCTGAGCATTCCGGGAGATCGCGCAGAAACCTGGGATATGTAGTCGAACGAGGCCTTCATTCGTGTTGCTTCATGGCCTACTGCTTTGCCCTCTTGTGTATAGGAGGACGAACTTCAGTTGGTTTAGTCCCTGGAGGGAAACAATTTCTGTTTCCAGAGTGGACCTGATTTTCACCACTTAAGCCATTTGAGACCTGTTACTTCAGACTTTGTTCCACAAAGTAAAAATCCTGAAAATAATAACACACAGTAGTTGTGGGGTTCAAATATGCTCATATATTCTTTGTAAATTCTAAAGTGGTCCCAATAGTTAGGTTTTAGTGGCTTAATTATTCTCACAAGGATGTAAACAGTTACCCCTGGATTTTCCTACTTGTTTTCAAAGCTCTGTAAGTATCAGCTGCTTAACGAGCGCCATACTAAGCACTGAGGCCCAGTAAAGGAACAACACTTGATTCCTGTCAGCAAGGGTTTTAACAGGCAATTTATGGAGAAGGCTATTAAAAAATTGAAGAAAAAAAAGGAAAAGCTTAAATTCACCAGGAAAATGAAAAAAGCAAACATAAATATATACCAGTTTTACCTATTAAAGTTAGAAAAAAGTTATCGATGCCAGCAAATACGCAATTAGATAGGGTCACCCACACTGCTGGCAGGAGTGTAAGTTAGTACAATGCATTTGGAAAGTAATTTAATAATATATATGAAATTATAAAAAGTGAATAGCCAGAGGTTCACTTCAAAAACCTACCCTAATCAAAAGTAATCATAGCTATAACAAATATTTTAAAAAATTATAACCTATGGAATTTTATTTATAATAGTAAAATTTAAAAATAATCTAAATACTCAATGTGATTCAGCAACTTGCAAAAATGCCCCAAATTGGAATACTATACAATCATATAGTTGGAGTTATTATTCAAATGGGAATATTATACAATCATGGAATATTATATAATCATTAACATGATAAAATTATTTTTAAAATTCTTTACATATACACACATATATTAATTATGTATATATGAGTATGTATATCCCGTATGATTGTAATTCTGTCAAATGACATGATGATCACTGTTCTGGAAGAGCTCACAGACTACTGGAAGATATAGACCAGTAAGTGGGACCAAGATATTTTTAATTACCTTAAGTAATGATTATGGAAAAAAGTGTACCTTTTTGTATATCCACACTTATTGGTTATTATTTACATTACTGTAAAACTCCACGACAGAAATAAAGTATTGATTAGTCAGGTGACCAAAGCAGGGCTAATCATTCTCTTTCACGGAACTCCTGTAGTGACCCATGTCCTTGCTCTTGCCCTTGTAGTTCTTGCTTGTATCCATGATGGTAGAGACACATCTGTCACTGTTTTCTCCAACACCTGGCATATCGTCTCACCCCTAATGAACCTTCAGGAAAGATGTTTTGAATGGATCAATAAATGTTTGAAAATATAGTCATCGTTTGGTGAGGTGACCTGATAGACTGGGGCATCGGAGTCATTTGGAAGATCGGGCAGAATTGGGGGAGATAAAACTGAAAATAAGAAGAAAAAGACTAAGGAATTGGGCTTGTACGAGAGACTCTCAGGAGATTTTGAATGTTTTTTTAGCCCAAACTGATAAAAGCTAGTTTGAGTACCTTTCCAGGAAACAGTCTTCACCATTCGCTGGGTCAGGCTTATGAATCATTGCTCCTCCCAGTGTCTGATGAGGTGACCTGGCCATGAGAAGTGCTCTCTCTCTGAAAGCAGCTTGATTTAGCCACACCTGAGGCCAGTAACTTAGCAGGGAAGTGGGTCCTATCTTCTTCATTGTGAAGGGACACTTTTATTGTGTTTTTGCTCTTATGAGCCCCCAATTTAAAAATATCTTACACTCTTTACCAACCACATATATGAAGCCATTACGTATTTTCCTATTTTTGATTATTTTAAGACCCAGATAATTAGCATTTAGTGAGTAGGAGATACGCAGTGCTGATCCAATACCAAAACTGGTAACGTCCTGAAGGACGAAGCACTTGCCAGTTGTTTTTGTTTTTGTTTTTGTTTTTTTTTGGTGGTTTTCAATTTCATCTTCAGTGATGCTACAATATCCTTGGGCATTGTGAAATTCCAGGTTCCTTATGAAGACCCCAATAGTTTTCCTTCTGAGGCCCAGAAGTCTGGGAACCCAGGTTGGGCATAATTGCAAGAGATGGTGAATGCAGCTCTGCTGACTTCAAGGAGAGAAGATGCAGCCTGGACTGCTCCCCATATTGGTCCTTTTCTCTAGGAATAGGTGATATGAAGGAGCCCTAATGTACTTTTTAGAGCACGTGAGTGAGGCTTTGGGAGACCGATGCGACCCAATGGGATCCTCTTCCTTGCTTAGTTTACTTTGAGTTTTTGACACTAGAGGGAGTATGTGGACAGGACAGAAGACCATCTTTTGCCCTTGTTTCTACAACTGATTTTGTAGTTTTTGTATAATGAGTCAGAGGAGCCCATTGTCACAAAAGTTTTGTGCTAGTTTATGTTTTTTTAAAAAAAGATTTATTAATTTACTTGAGAGAGAGCACAGGGAAGGGCAGAGGGAGAGAGAAACTTAAGCAAACTCTTCACTGAACTCAGAGCTTACTTGGGCTTGATCATGACGCTTAATCGACTGAGCCACCCTGGGGCCCCTGTGCTAGTTCATGTCAATATCACATTTCTCATGGCTTGAAAGTGACTACAAACCTCCTACCCCCACGGCTCTGAGACCTTCTTTTCCTGATTATACTAAGGAGCTGGCAATGACAACCAATGACAAGTTTCCTGATTATAGTAAATCAAGAAAAAGATTAAAAGGAAAGAAAAAGAGAACAAAAGAATTGTTAAAACATTACTGTATTTTGCAATGTGACATCATGCCTGACAGTGTCTCTCACTGGTTATTCATTTATTCTTTCAATTAATCCTTATGGAGTACTATTTATGATGTCAGGGACTTTGCTAAGCCATAAGGATCCAGACATAAGAGCCAGTGCTGCCCTCTGATTGCTATCAGTCTAACTATGATCAATACTATGATGAAGGAGAAAGGTGCTGGGGCATCTGGGTGGCTCAGATGGTGAGGCACCTGCCCTCGGCTCAGGTCATGATCTCAGGGTCCTGGGATGGAGTCCTGCATCCGGCTCCCAGCTCAGCAGGAAGACTGCTTCTCTTTCTCCCTCTGCCTCTCCCCTTCCTGTACTCTCTCAGTCTCTCTCTCTCTAATAAGTAAATCTTAAAAAAAAAAAAAAAAAAAAAAAAAAAGGAGAAAGGTACCAAGGAGAAAAGTCCCTTACACCAAGGGAAGGAACTCCTGATACATGGAACTTTCTTCATCTCTTCATGGAAGCTCGCTCATTCCTCTACATCAGTACATTTGAGCTCCTTAGCAACACCATGAGTGAGGCAGTGTTGCTCCTATTTCACAGACGGGAAAACTGAGGTTCAGAAGGCTGAGGTGACCTGTGTCCCACGTCACAGAGCAAGTAAGGGGTCAAGCTTAGAACTGAACGTACTGCTCGCGGTACAGAGAAGTCACACCGTCACTCACCCCTCCACTGCTGCTGTTCATGACGCATGGGGCACAAACTGTGAAATCATGGCTGCTATTAGGGACACGTGGCCTCTCCTCCTCCAGGAGGCTATTCTGCATCCTTTTTCATTTGTTCAAGAGAACAAAATCTCTCATACAGGGGTGGCATCTTCATGACAACTCTCTTGGACAGACTGCTCGGAACAGAGTGTTGAGTGGTCTGAGGCCACATCCTGGTGTGGTAGGGAAGAGTGCCCACTGTGGACTGGCCATGTCTGCCACGGATGCAGGAAAGGGAAGGGGCCGCACAAGTGCCATTTGTAGTACCTCAAGATCCTGCACCAGTCACGATGTTTCCCATGACACCCACCTCCACCCCCAACACCCACTGTGTCCACTTTCCCTTAATCCTTCCCTTCCCAGCAGGAATGGTTCCTGTCCATTTAATAATAGCTTCAGTTGCCTGAGCAGGTAATGGGTTCAAGGCATGTGACATATATTACCGCCAGGCCTCACAACAATCCTGCAAGGTTCAGCGAGGTTCAGTGACTAGTTCAAGGGCACATGAGGAGTAAGTAAGTTAAGTTGAACCCTGAACCAAAAGGTGAGTTTTACTTACATTTTGTGGTGGGCCATGAGTACCTTCCTATTTACTGTTGGCTTAAAGCCTCACAACACCCCCAGGAGGTAGTTCTCTGGGTTTACAGCAGGGGGAGGCAGAGACCCAAAGGAGAGGAGCCGGCCGCAGAGTTGGGGAGCCCTCCAGACTGGAGTTAAGGCCTTCACCTGCTGCTCCTCCCCTCCCCCTGCCGAGAAGAGCCCTGGATTGCACAGAGTCTTTGCACAGAGCTGATCTACGCCACCATGGGGAGACTCTGGGGGCCCCTGATTAATTTTACCCCATCATCCTTTCTCTGTTTCCAGCTCTTCTCATCAAGAAGGTCTTTCCTTGATTGGTGGCTCCTTCTTCTGTCACTTAGCCTCTTTTCTTTAAAAAAATATATTTTTGAGGTGAGATT